CGCGATTTTTTTTTTTTTTTTTTTTTTTTTTTTTTGCATGACGAACGCGATTATCGCTACGTATAAAGACGCGTTGAGAGTTGAGAGTCCTTCTGACGTAGTTATCGCGACAAAAAGTTTGGAAAAATCGCAATTCCGGCCGTTCAATCGCGACACTTTTTAGGGGTGCAGCTCTGTTTTATTCTCGCACCGACGCGTTTCGAGATGGGATTGTAAATCGCGTTCTCGAGAGAAAAATAAATCGCATGTCACGAAAATTGAGATCGAGGAGGTTTTTTGAAACTTTTTTGTTTTTTTTTTTTTTTAATTAAAATATCTTTCTGTGTATCGTTCGTGAGACTCTGGACGACTGGTCGTTCGACGTGTTTTCCCTGAGCGAGGCCGCTTTGGGCATGCCGGTGAAATACCTGGGCTACGATCTCCTCAATCGATACGGTATGATTCACAAGTTTAAAGTACCGCCCGCAGTTTTGGAGGGCTTCCTCGGCAGAATTGAAGAGGGTTATTGCAGGCATCGAAATCCGTACCACAACAATCTACACGCCGCCGACGTCGCACAAACGATGCATTACATCCTGTGTCAAACGGGCTTGATGGTGAGTTTTCTAAAAATGACGATACATTCGCATTGTTAAGTCTCGTTACGCTTTTTGGTTTGGTTTGATTTTCAAGAGAGACCTTTTGAGAGAAAAACGCGGTATATTCAATTTCTCCGAGTGCCGCGTATGGTTTCGCGTGCGTGTAGGTAATTGCTAATTAATTAATAACAACTCTCCCTCTTGCCAAAGTTTTCACGAAGCTTCGAAGTGTTTTCAGAACTGAAATATCGCTATATAAATATATCAGCAAGCGTGATTATAGTTTATAGCGAAGTGTGTCGCTACAACAATTGAAATCTGTTTTTCTACAGTATGAAACGCTTGAATAAATATTTTATTAAATTTGTATTGAAGAAAAAACACATATGTATATTATATAAATATAAATCTCCCTCTTTTTTTCTCTCACACAAGTGTTTATAAAATCTTATCTCGCGACGCTTTTCTCGCGCGAGCGATATCAGAAATTGTGAGACTCAACGGAAATAACAAAAAATGTGATCTCTATTGGTTTTTGCGCGGAGGGAGAGTCGAGAGTCTTCGATTAGACCGAGCAGAAAAAGAAAGAATCCCCGTTTTACTTTATTTGATCCTGTTCGCATTTTTGCCCGACGATCTCTTTTTTGTTCGTTGTAATGCGCGCGCGAGATAATCTCAGACTGAGATATTTTTCGTTGTAGAATTGGCTGACCGATCTCGAGATCTTCGCCACTCTCGTGGCGGCGATTATTCACGACTACGAGCACACTGGGACCACAAACAATTTCCACGTGATGTCTGGCAGCGAAACCGCCCTTCTTTATAATGATCGTGCCGTGCTGGAAAATCATCACATTTCCGCCAGTTTTCGGTACGCGCGCGCGCGATTCGTCGCAATGTCGATTATTTGTTCTCAAGAAGAACTTGAGTTCGAATGTTTGTTGAAAAAATCGATTATTGCAATTTTTTATGTTTGTTCGATCTACGATCGTGTGACCGAATTATGTTTTTTTTTCAGGATACTGCGAGAAGACGAGTGCAACATATTGCAGAACTTGTCGCGCGAGGAATTCCGAGAATTTCGATCGCTCGTGATAGACATGGTTCTTGCGACCGACATGAGTTTTCACTTTCAGCAGCTCAAGAACATGAAGAATCTGCTGAGTTTGGCCGAGCCGAGTGTGGATAAGAGCAAAGCCGTCAGTTTGGTTCTTCACTGTTGCGACATCTCGCATCCCGCTAAGAGATGGGATCTTCATCACAGGTGAAAAGTTTATCTGGGTCGATTTTCTTCGTTTTGTATGTGAAATTTGAAGTTGAATATAAACGTAATCGAAAGAAGTTTGTTACGTATATAATTTTCCAAAGCGTTGTACAACAAAATAATTTAGCGCAATTATCGAATATTTTTTTTCGTCTCTGTAAGTTACGTAACTTTTGAACGAAATAAAATCACTTTTGTAATGACAATATTTTATAAGAGAAGAGATCGTTTAATCGATCGTCACAATGTTCACCGCATAGATGGACGATGCAACTTCTCGAGGAGTTCTTCAGACAGGGTGACAAGGAAAGGGAGCTCGGATTGCCGTTTTCTCCTCTATGCGACCGCAATAACACGCTCGTAGCTGAATCTCAAATAGGATTCATAGAATTCATTGTCGAGCCTAGTATGCAAGTATGCAGCGACATGTTGGAGACCGTTCTCGCGCCGCTTAATGTCAAGGACACCACGGACGAGTCCAACAATGGTAAGATTAGATTCTTTGACATTACTAACGTGTCGCTTTAAATAATTAGGTTTTTTTTATAATTTTTTGTTTTGTAAAAAAAATAAAAAATATCGAATCTTTTGAATAAACATTGCATATCGGCGAAAGATGTTGACGTGTCGGATGTTGCAGATTCGGCGGAGAGCAAGAGGTTCAAAATCGGAAAACCCTGGACCGTGTGTCTCGCGGAAAACAAGAAGATCTGGAAGGAGCAGGCGGTTCGAGGTATACGTTTGTCATTTTTTTTTGTTATTACGACTCATTTTGAACGCATTTGCGTAACAAGAGTTAAGTCATTCCGGTTTACGCTTGCACGCGCTCAACTTCGGCCTAAGCGAAGATGATTGACGATGTGTCAACGTTTTGTTCGTAGATGCGGAAGCCAAAGCACAAAAGGAGCAAGAACAAAAAGCCAGCGGTAATCACGAGGACGGCGGGGGGGCGCAAGCCCCGGCCGAAGAATGAAAGATACAACGGGCAATCGGATTCTTTAGGAATCTTTGCAACTTTCGACTACGGAGAAGCACGTGATTTCGCATCGGGGTGGAACGAGATACACCCTGAGTATATATATAAAAAAAAAAAAAAAGTTCACAGACTCTTTATTACGCTTACGAGTGAGAAGCAAATGAGAGTAGTACAAATAGACGTATATGTATGTATCACATACACACGTTTTAGACGAGTGGGAACGACGATATACACATGTTGCGGATATATAGTATTGGTCGAATTGTATACACGTGTTTGTCCCGCTTGCTCCTGTAGAATAATTTGTAGAACTACTCTTCAACTGATTATTTTCTACACAGCTCAATACACAGGATCACACTTGATCTCATTAGTTACGGCTCTTTACGAGATGATAATCACCGTTGATGTTGCGACGTTGTTGAACGTGTTCTTTGTGCAGTTTCAAAAAAAAAAACCAAAAAAGTTTTGTCCGTTATGTTTCGCGTCACTTCGTGACGCGTTTTGAAGGTAAAGTAGTTTTGAATTCGATACGATATATTTTAAATATTATCTACGTCTTATATAAAAAATACATAAATATTTATAAACAAAAATAAAAACTTACAATATATATTATAATAATTGGATTTGTGGACGTGTGGATGGAATAATGTGTACCACCGAGTGTCCTTACAACTGAACAACGTGAGAATTAAATGTGTAAAGCCTAAAATTGTAAAAATAATGCGCGAAGGAAACGCGTAATTTGTAAAAAGAAAGGATGAAATATTGTCGGAGCACAAGCAATTGTAGAAAGTGAGAGGAAAACTTTATATAGTTTACATTAATCAGCAGGACGATTGTGTATTGATATGATACACTGAGAATCGCGTTGAAAGTAACTGACTGTTCCAAATAGCATATTCTCTGAAATATTATTCAACATCCAAGATCTGTTCTAATAATGATTATCGACGGTGATTATGAACACATAAGATTTATATATACATATATATATACCGAATAAGAGAGAATCTCAAAAACTTTAATTTATTTTTTAACAGTTTCTCAACAAGCATCGCACAAGGTGAATATTGCACAAGAATTTTGCGTTTTTATAAACAATTATTTTTGTTTTAACATATGTAAACACAAAAAAAAAGAACAGCTTCCGCGAGTAAAACCGGGAGCCCGCAAACTCTGGACGTGGTTTTTGCAATGCAAAATTTATTTCCAAACGAGTCTCTCGAGAAATCGGGACTGCGAATCTCTCTCGTTCAAGTGTTTATTGATTAATCGCGGAACAGCATTCATAGAAGAGCAAAACGTTCTTGTACATACCGTTCGTTAGATGTGTATCTGTATACATGTACGCACTGGTACAGGTTTGATGTGTATGTGTGTGTGTGTGTGCGTGTGTGCGTACGCGCGTGCATGTATGTATGTATGTACGTAATGTATAAAAAAAAACAGCAAATTACAAGATAAGTTAGCGTTTAATCAACGTGCGCTACGTATATTCGCTCCGTATATTATATGTGTATATATATTTATTTATATATATGTATATATATACATATATATGTATCTATATGCACAGAAAGAAAACAAATGCGAGAGAATGTTATTTTGGATTTCGCGCGGTCGTGGAATTGCGCGTGTGGCGACGCGCGTGGCGACGCGCGCGTCAGTACTCCAAGTGCGCACTTGCGTAATCCGGAGATTTCAATCGGACCCATTTTTCAAGCGACGCGATGGTCGCAAAATGACATGACGATGCGTGTATTTCAAACAATACAAGTTATATTGATGTTACGTAAAAAAAACTTATAAAAGAAATAATCTCATGAGTCAATGATCTTATAAATCTTAAATAAAAATTAATGGCAAATCGCACAATGTACGTGACCGTTGATTGAGTTGGCATTAAATAAATTATTTAGTCACGCCTAGCCTCAAGGTTGTAATTAAACATATCCATGCGCGTCGCGATACGCGCGTAAAATATTTATTAATTCGATGTAGCACGTCTCATTAAAACATATATATCGACTATCTGCACACCATATATTCTACCATGTCACGTGCTTACGGTGATCGAAGTTCAGTGAATAATTTTCGTTTTTCGTTTCGCTACTTTTTATATCTCACGCTCACGTGAGATATATCTCGCGCTTTATATCTCGCGCTCACGTGAGACCTTGCCGTTTTATTGCAGATTTCTCTCAAACATCGCAGGAAAATTTAATAATATAAATGTAAAAAAGTGTATCTATATTTTTTTAACAAGAAAAGCAAACGCAATCAAATTTATTTTCACCACAAGCAGAGTTTCTCAAATTGTACAGACCGGAATAGATTTGTTCTTAATTGTTCATTAGATGTGTATAAAAACAAAAACATCGTAAAATGACTGAGTATGATATTCTCGCTGGCTTGAAAAATTGACTCCGATTCTCTGTGTACATTGATGGTTCGTTAATTGTTCTTAATTAGGTTCGCGTGCACCGAGTAACTGTTGATTAAGGTCGGTGGTGTACGTAGCAATAATTTGCGGCTCTATGAACCGTTAAAAATATCGCATAAAATAGACCACAGACATAGAAGATTTTTCAAATAAAACTGTTTTATCGCGTCGCAGAAAAATATATATATACATATATATATATATATATATATCGATATATATATAGACAAGATATCTCTCGCTAGTCTTGAGGTTAAACACATATCCGTCCTGTATTATTTATTTAATTCCCCTCATTCTATATGCATGAATCCGCGTTGCTATCGAGTACACGATACAACACAATTTTTTTTTTTTTTTTTTTTTTTTATATTTCAGGTTGATTTTCTCTGAAACACGAATAAGGAGAAGATATTCTCGGTCCTTATACATGTCGCTATTGTTTCGCCTGTGATAGTGTAAACAGCTTTGTGACAGTTTCTGTATAGAGATAGCGAACCAGAATTCAATGCGTTTGTCATATCGTATCTATATTATGTGTGCATGTATTTATGTATGTATGTATGTATGTATGCGTATATGAGAGTGAGAGAGAGAGAGAGAATCAACCTAAAATATAACAAAAGCAGTACTTGCTTATCTTATCTTATTTGAACATGACATGAACTGTAGCGTGGCCTGATTTTTAAGGCGAAAACTAAATCAAAAACTTAGCATAGAAAGTTTACGAACAGTCCGTCACAAATTCGAACATATTAATCGCTACGCTCTAAAAGTTTCTCTTGTATTATCTGATTTGTCTTTCTCAATGCAAGTACACAGATTATTCGAAAGATTGAAACGAGAAACAAACACTTTAGTGATTACTTCGTTTCCGATCGCGAATATCGGCGGTAAAACGTCGTGAAATTAGCTTAAATTGTTTCACAAGAATCAAACTACGTTAGTTGCTACGAATCGGTCGTATATAATAGTTGTACAATTGAATTTTTCTTCCTGCAGCGGACGAGGGGCCAAAACGCGTGATAGAAACTAAAGTACATTAAAAAAAAACTACAACTTTATTAAGAGAATTTATCGATCAGTCACGTGAATACAAAAAAAAAAAATCGATTGATTATAAAACAAATTATATTGGTCAGAAAGTTATTTGTTCGCGAGATGTTCGTTTTTGGCGAATAAAAACGTCAAAAATCACATTGTCGAAACTTGCGGATACGGAAGGAGGACTGAGCGCGCTGCTGTGCGTTTCAGCCGCTCGTTTATTCACGTGGCTCGGTCATGTTTAATTATCTAAAGCTCTCTTTAAAATAACTGGCCTTTCCTTACGATATGCGCGTTAAGAGACCATTTAAATTTGAAAAAAAAAAAAAAAAAGAGAAATAGTCAAACGCAGCGCCAGACTTTAGCGGTGCCGCATGCACGTTATTAATTACGCTTAAAATAACAAAGCACTTTTCAAACAAGTTCGTAACATGCGAATTATATATAATTCTTCATTGGGCGGATTTGCCGGGAGAAACGCCGATCAGAAACGCTGCAAAAATCGTTCGGAACGAACAAAACGGGATTTTAACAAATACTCGACCAATAACTGTTAATTCTTAAGCTAAAAGTACACACATACACACACGCATACATGAAAAAAAATTTACCGTCTTTTTGAGTATTTCCTTCCTTCACACTTTTCTCTCTCTCTCTCTCTCTTTCGAGAGAGAGAGGAGAAGGTCAGAACGTGTTCGTCTGTTATCCGTGAACTTGTTATTACTATTGATTGTTGTACATCTTTCGGCGGACGACACCTCCACGTGATCTAACCGCTCTGTTTATAATCGTTTCTAAGTGTGTTAACCGCGAATCACGATAAACTGTACATTCTCGGTTTATTTTCCAGCACAATTGAATAATAATAAGAGTGTGTACATAACCGAGCACCATGTCCATATTCGATGTGATGTAATGAAAAAAAAAAAAAAAAATGTAAACGTATAAACGAGAGATATATATTATATATAATATATATATATATATATATATATATATATATATATATATTACACAAAAAAAGACACACACACGTCGTGTATGATTGTACTCTATTCTACGTAATTCTACAGAGAAATAAAAATACTCGATTACTTAAACTACGCCACCGATTTGATTTGAAGATCAACACGAAAGTAATTTTCAGTTCGTTGTAATAACTTGACTGATTTTTCTCACGAGCGAGAGAGAAGAGACTGGAAACAACGAAAGTAATTAATTATTTACCTTTTCAGATTTGATGCTTTCGTCGCGACGTGTTACATTTAATATTCGAAGATAATTTTTTCGGGTTTGAATCATGTTAGCGTCATTTTTTATACCCCAACGTGAATTCATTTCAGTTCACTTCTCATCAGGGTCTCAGGAGCAATTTGATACTCTTGAAACCTTGATAAACCTTGTGTAAAGTGTTTACGTCAGTATAAAAATATGACACTAACGCGGTTAAAACTCGAAAACCATTCTTCAAACATTTATCTTTTTCTTCGATTTTTACAATCATTGTTGTTTTAGCACGAGAGAACGTTTACAGCATCTTGAAATACAGTAAAAACAGTAAAGAGATTTGGCGTATTAAACAAAATTTAATATATGTTATGTTTACAGGTGTTGCTGACATGATCTACGGAAGTTTTCGTACTATTTAAACATTTGTGCGTTATGACTACTGTAACACAATTATAAAACATAAAACTTCGGTTTATATTCTTTTTTTTGTTGGTATTTTTTTCTTTTGATTTGCTTTTGTTTTGATTCGGAACTTTGTAAATGTAGAATTCCGATTGTTTTGTGCAAAAAAGAAATGTGTATATTTTTTATTCAATTAAAATTTCATTTTAATTCGTGTTTATAGTGCAAGATTGTTACAATCGCAAGGTGAATTGCAAAATTGCTGCAATTGTATAAGATTCTTCAAGATGAACAGTTCCGCGCTTAGGCAGTTGGTTGATTGGCTGGCATTACTGTTACATCCCATATCTGAAACAGATTATTGTTACGCGTTATCGATACATCGAGAGACTTCATTTATGAACTGGCATCAAGAGGTTTGTATTTTAATTGCAAATTTTATTTTTAAAATAATAATGTATTATAAATATTCAAAGATGAATATTACTCTCATATATGCGTTCTTTATATAAATTATTTATTCGAGAACGCGCATGATTTTATCGATACTGCGGATATGAAGAAATAATATCAATGAATTCTCTTGTTGGTTATTAGTCATACCTCTACTCGAGATGGCAAACTCAGTATGTAGATAACCGTATCCGTGATATCTTCAACTTTCAGTTGCGGTCCTTTCGTAAATTCTTTGAATTGTTGTAGCATATCAGTGGTAACCGCACCAGGCATAATGGTCTGCATTCAGAATACAATAGTATTGTTAAAAATTTAATTTTATTATTTTATTGAAAATCTCCCCTGCAGAGGGGCGCAGCCCCCCCCCTGCCTACATGCTTACAACACGAATAAGAACATAAAAAAAAGTAGTCATTGATTGATATTAATTGAGAATAATTATGCGTCATATACAGAAATTCATGGAACATCATATCGAGAGGTATTCGCATTTCACAATGATTTCGCACATACGTCGAAATCATTGTGAAAAGAAAGCGTGACATAGCTTATCTATCATTTCTTCGCTCGGAATGATACACGCTTTGAAACATAAACTGAGTAACATAAACAGTCAACAATACCACTTATAAATGTGTATAATTGCATCAGTAACTCTGAATGTCTTCTAAGAACTGATACCTCTGAGAGCAAATGTGTATTCCGATTCATTATTCTACATGTTATTTAGGAAAATAAAAGTAGCGTTTTTCAAACATTCTCGATTAATATATTTTTAATAAAAAATGAGCGCCGCCTAAAACCTCTTGAACACTACTCAGGAGAGTGCCCTTTACAACACATATCAAAATCAAGGTCATCGGACCTTAATCCTTTATACTCAATAATTATCGATATTTTTATGTATTACTGAACAGAAATTAATTATAAATTAATTTATATGTTAAATTATCTCGGCGATAAAAATCTAATTTTAGATACTTCAACGCTCTCACGCGAACGCGCGCGTGCGCGCGCGAGAAAAAGAGAGAAAGAGAAAGAGAGAGGCTGATTAAAAAATTAGCATTGATAAGCATAATATGAACAAGTTCGCATACCGTGATTTTTACATCTATTTTTTCTCTTGCCAAATCGCCGCGTAAAGTCGCTGTCATGCCGTTGACACCGTATTTAGTTGCGGGATATAAACTGGCGCTTACTGGAAGCGTTTCTGCAAGACGTCCGGCTATACTGAAATCAAAAAAATGGAGAAAAATTTTATACAAAGCTCAATTTATAAAAACTCGTTTCTGTTTGTATCTAACGCTGCGTGCGAAATGTTTCTTAAGTTGTACAAATTAACAACTTCCTGTTACTAGATGTTTGCTTTTAATACACACCTGCTGATATTAATGATATGACCCGACGCTTTCCGCTTTTTGACAGACTGGACGAATTCGCGCGAACAAATTGCCGGCGCACGTAAATTCACGTCCAACAGTTTGCTGAGCATGTCCGTGGTTTCCTCTTAAGACACAAAATAGCATGAAAGTTTTATAAAAATCAGAAGGTTTCCGAGAAGTTTTCTCGATCAAATATGATCAAAAAATACTTTAGATAAAAAAATGAAAGACAAAGAAACTCACCTGTGAGCGATTTGGGCGAGACAATAGCGGCATTATTAATCAACACGTCAATACCACCCAGATGCTTTTCCGCCCACTTGAAAACCCCGAGAATGTCCTCCTCTTTTTGAACGTCGCATTGCATGGGATGTAATTTTGCGTTGCATTTCCGTTGAACATCCGCGGCCAGTTCTTGCAGCTTTTCCACACGTCGCGCGACGGCGATCACTTTCATTCCTTTCAACGCGAGTGTTCGCGCGATCTCCGCNCCGATCCCACTGCTCGCACCGGTGACGAGCGCGACTTTTCCTGCCCAACGTTCCATCTCGAATCAAGTTCTCACACTAAGTCCTTCTCAGACTGTTTCCACGTATATAATACNTATCCCCTACCACCACACTAATAGTCGAATGCATGTCAGTAAAACATAGATATATATATATAGATATATTCGCTCTCAAACATAAATTGCACAATGATGCTGATTCACTTCAAACGTTGTAGACCTTGTGTATTTCTCTGCACCGTTGATACAATATTTGCACAAATTTATACGTTTATACGTGATAATTTATAGTAGTTTTAGATACAGAATATCTATAATATTTCTGAGACGCAATATATGAGATTGCAATATAACGATGCAATACTATTGTGCAACATCTCCTATGAAGAACATTACATATAATATTTGATGCTTTCGCGGTGTGTTATACATTTGAATGTTCTTCGGGTTTGAAACGAGTTAATTTTATACTGATAACGATTTGTGAATATTTNAGCTCGCTTTATCAAAAGCAGTCTGATACTGTATCAAGTTGTTGATATAGTATCAGCATCCTGATATAGACTGCTGATTTCTTGAAACCTTGACAAAGTGAGTTGAATCTTGCTGAAGTGTTTAGTGTGAAACGTCGGTATAAAAATGACACTAACACGGTTCAACCTGAAAAACATCTTTGAATGTTATTACATATTATTACAATATTCCTGATATATTTGTAAAATAT